AGGCCAGCCGGAGGGGGCCATAGAAGTAGTATCCAAGGTGACTGGCAACCGTGGTGCTCTTCACCTGGAAGCTCAAGCCGTATGTTACCCTTGCATGTGTTTCATACCTTGACCTCAACAGTAGGTGCTAATCTCTAACTTGTGAAATCATAGAGCTATCGCGCCGAGAGATTCAGTCGCGCCGCCGAATTATACGAAGAACTGTCGAAAGATGGAGCCTCAATGACCAACGAGGAAAACGATCTGCGCATCAATGCCTGGGCTACGGATGCACAGCTGCAGTGGAAGGGATACCCCGAGTTCGTTCGCCATAACCGACCGACCCGTGATGATTTGGAGGCATTTGAAACCGTGTACAATGCTGCATGCCTGAGCATAGCAAAGGGCGAATTCGAGCAAGGAGAATTGCTTCTGAAGCGAGCAAAGGGTGCGTGCTTAGAAAGGATATACAGAGGCGATAACTATTGCTAACCCCTCCTCGTTACACAGAACTGTGCCGCACGTCAGAAGATCTCACCCCGGAGGACAGAGACGCCGAACTACTCCCAATTGCTGTGCAGCAGCTGTACGTTCTGCTTCGGCAAGGCAAGTCCGAGGAGGCTCAGTCCATTTTGGAGGAGATCTCCGTCAAGGAGTGCGCATACCTTCCCTGGTCAAACTATCCCAAATTGAAGCTTACCCGACCGCAGTATCCACGAAGCTTCGACGAAGAAGATCGCACAAACCAATGTCACCCTCGCCCGCGGCGCCTCGGCCAACCCTTATGCATTCTACAAGGCCTTCAACGAGATCCCAGACTCGACAGAGAGCGACAAGCTGTTCGACTACCAGAGCCACCTGACGATCGGCAACTCACACGCCGCCGACCTCCTTGTCCGCAAATACGACGGCATCATCCGCTCCACCTCCAAGGCCCTCTCTCGAGCCGCCTACCCCTCCACAGAACCGAGCGCCAACCTCCTCTCGGTGTACAACGCCGCCGCTCACGCCCAAGGTGAATCCGGCACGAAAGCGCTCAAGCCCATCGTAGCAGCGCTGGACAAACGGCCCAAGGACATGGGCCTGGCCCTCACCGCCGTGCAGCTCTACGTCGGCGCGGGCAACACCACCTCTGCGATCACCACTCTCGAGGCCACCCTCCAACTCCTCGACGAGTCCATCTCCGAGCAAGACAAGGAAGTTCGATTCAACCCGGGCGTTCTGAGCGTGCTTCTCTCCCTCTACAAGCTCGAGGGCCGCAAGGTCCAGATCCGCTCTGAACTAGCCAAGGCCGCCGCCTACTGGCAGCAGCAGCAGCGGGAAGGCGCCAACCAACCGCCGCCCGTTCCCCTCCTCCGCGCCGCCGCCGCCTCCCTGTTGCACTCCACCGACACCTCCGACCTCACCAAGGCCGGCGACCTGTTCAAGTCTCTCTACCAGTCCAACACCGCCGACAACTTCGCCGTGGCCGGCTACGTCGCCGCGCAGGCCCCCCTCGACTACGCCAAGGTCGAATCCCTGGTCGACAAGCTTCCGTCCGTTGCGGACCTGATCGCCGAGGTGGACCTGGCTGGCCTCGAACAAGCGGGTATCGCGCCTTCGTCGGGTGCGAACGCCGCGGCTGCGGCTGCGATTGCGGGCGCTCGCAAGCGGTCAGCCACTGCCCACCTTAAGGAAGACGGCGGTGCGGCGAAGAAGCGGGTCCGGAAGTCGAGGCTGCCCAAGGATTACGATCCGGGTAAGACCCCCGACCCGGAGCGCTGGCTGCCTCTGCGCGATCGCTCGAACTACCGGCCTAAGGGTCGCAAGGGCAAGCAGCGCGCTGCGGAGCGGACACAGGGCGGTGTTGTGAACGACAAGGCTGAGGAGTCGACTGCGGTCACCAACCAGCCTAAGCCTCAGAGCGGTGGTGGCGCCAACAAGAAGAAGAAGAAGGGCAAGCGGTAGTGATGTGGGACGGTAATTCTTCATGTTTCTTTTTTTTTTAACTTCTATTCATGAGACATGTCTTGCATTGGCTGGCAGAGAAAAAGAAGAGAGGTCTTTTTAGACACCTTGGAAGCATGTAAATAGAAATTCGGTCAATCTGCTGCTCTGATACAACTCCCCCTTTCGCCTTCGAAACAAACAGCAAATTTTAAAGTATGCATATTAGTTCTTACATGTGAGACTTTTCCTGCTAAAACAGTATCCCACCCTGAGCATAACCGCGCGTGTTGCCAATTTCCATTGCCTAGCCCAGAGGAGTCCGAATGGTGCCACACTGCCGATCGTACTGCTCGAAGATTTGGTAAAACAGCTTCAGATCCTGAAGCCCATCGCGGGCGGACGTCTTGGCCATCTTATCTTCGGTGAGGTAGGCGTGCAGCGCCTTGAGTTCTGCCTCATAGGTCTCCTGCCACCCGCTCACACGTTCAGTCCTCTTCATCTCCCCATTCTCATCTGCGGTCTCCACCACAACCTTCACAGGCACGCCACGAGCGTACGGCAGACCATACTGAATGCTGACAGTCTTTGTGTCACCATAGATTGCAAGGTGTGCATCACAACGCGGCACGGCATCGGTACCCGTCTCGTACATCAGGGTGAATGGGTGCTCGCCCTTCCGCCCACTGTAATAATGGAACAAGGCCGAGTAGTATGGCTCGTTCACGGAGATGTTTGAGATGGCATCAGGAAACCCAAGCGAGTCGCGCATCAAGCCCAGATCATGACAACCCAGAGAGGCAAGAAACTCGCAGAGCGCGATACGTTCTTTGGTCAGTTCCTGTCCCAAGAACATCTCCTGCAGCAAACCGTGCATGAGCTGCGGGCCACTATCCTTCTTCCTATTCTCCTCCGATGCGAATCCATATGCTGCTGCACCATTCAAGGCAGTCCAGAGCCTCTTCCGCGGTGCGGTAGCCGTGTGCGCCAAGCTAGGGCCCGCGATGTTTCGGCAGCGAGCGTAATAGATGCGATCCAGGGACGCAACCTCCTTCCTGAAGACCTCCTCGATACAAGGGGCATAGCGTCGCGCACATGCCACAAACACTTTAGCACCATTGGGGGCGCGCTTCTCCGCTTCAATAATGCGCCGTGCACTTTGGATGCTCAGGCTCACGGGTGTTTCGACCATGACGTGCTTGCCAGCATCCAGAGCCGCTACTGTGTAGATCTCGTGATACTCGTTGGGCATGAAGTTGAGGATCAGCTGGATAGATGGGTCGGAGATGATCTCTTCGGCGGACGATGCACGAGCGATGTTTTTGATTCGGTTCTCATGGCCATCGGCTATAGTCGTGCCATCTGCGTGATGGCCGTTGATATGGCCGTTAGTGTGACCGTTGGTGTGACCGTTGGTGTAATGGCCGTTGGTGTAAGCCTTCCTGGTGCTGTTTATCGTCTGCTTGGTATCACCTTTTGGAGCATTGTAGATGGCAGCTACTTGGTATGTGTGGGTAAGAGCGGTAAGGATAGGAAGGTAGATTCCTTGAATGGCTTGGGCGCCTTCGTCTGCGGTGAGGATCCCGACTTGGAGGACCTTCTGTGTCATCGTGCTTCTCTTGTTCAGATATGTGCTTTCGGGTTCCTCTGTATCGGGCTGAGATGCGCTGGATATTTATGTGTTAGGCTCACGTAGATAGGACCTGCGGACCTTGACTTACGCAAATAAATTCAATAACTCAATCAGCCGGCACGAAGAGAAGACAGAGCGAGACTCTGGAGATCAGGAGGAGGAGAAAGAGAAGGAGAAGAGGGAAGGCGCATTTTCTGAGGTGAAGAGAAAGACAAAGTTCTGAACGGGATGGAGCACTGGCTTCAGGTAAGGAATGCTGGATGCAAGGGATGGACTCGGCGGGTTAGGAGACTACCTGCCTGTTGCAGTGTTAATGTGTTGACCCCCTACAAATCCGGCAAGAAACACGAATTTAGAATCGAGCGTGTTAAGGAAACAACACCTGTGACTCGGGAAACTTGAAACTTGTCCAGCTTGGCTCGAGTCCTGCCTTGTGTTATGATAAATTTTCTCGGGCTTGTGAGAGAAAAAGAAAAGGCTGTGATGGCGATATCAGAAGCAAGATGCAGGATCATGGAGCTCTGTTTTTCTCCCACTGGCTTTTGTTGGGTCAGGATATTCCATGACATCAGTGGCACTTGTTTTTAATTTTTTCTAATCGTGCTTCAAATTCTCGGCTGAAAAATAGTTCTCGATGTATCCTTCGACTTAGTTCCTGGATCTATTTGATAGTGTAGTGAGATCGAGACGATTAGAGGCATGATTCATCATGCTTGCTATAGATCGATATGGACTGCGGTAGGACTGCAGGTCGATCGGGTGGGGCCGAAATTGCCTACAAAAAAAGACATCAGATAATCAAACATCCCACCTACATGCAGCCGCGCAGCGTCTGCATGACACACGAGTAATAGAAGGTTGACAAGCAAACTCCCGGGAAAATTCAGTCAGCTGGTATGACCATCCTACACTTGCTTGATTCGATACTTTGGCAGTCTGTGTGGAATGAGATTGTCTTATCGCTGACTGCCGTTACTGGCAGGTCATGTGCCAACTATTATGCTTGGACCATGTATATTGTGGTCCCGGTACACACACTAAACATGATGTATTCTGTAGGAGGAGTAGAATATTCTGGATGCAGCGCAGCCTTATGCCATGACGGGCACGATGCCTTCTGCAAGCTGAAGATCAACTCTATAGGCACCAATGACTAGTTGCGCAGTCCAGTGAGGGCAATTTAATAGACTTTGAATGAGGCTGAGTTTTGTTGACTGTAGGTACAGTACGTACAGTACATCTGAGTAGTAGAGAGTAAGAAGTGGAATCAGATCAGTCGGTCGTCATCTCAATTCGACACGAAGCGACGAAGCCCCGTCTAAGGCTTGATGCAGCCTTAGTGTTGACTTAGCGGCTTCTCATTCGATCTGAGATGTGGCTGTGAACATTTGGAGCCCGGAACACTCTCTCCTTTTTTTCCCCCCCTCCTCTTCCGCTCCTGCCCCTCTGACGACATCATCAGATTATATCAAACAGCCAGCTGCAGGGTCAACAACCTTTCCCTTTCTTCCTCTCATCACCACCACTTTCCTCTCGGGGACCCCAGAACCAAAGTCAGATATTAATATCGGAGTAACCCATCAAATTCATTATGGGGGTAAGTTCGAGTCTTAAGTCATTTGTCCCACCCGTCCTTCCATTTCTCATTTTATTTTGTTGTTCGACTGCCCCGCGTTGCTGCCCCGCTCATCCCAAAGCTCGGCCTGCAATCATCTGCATCAGCTTTCGAACACGTCAACCTGCTTCTGCTTTCGTGGTGTACGGTACATGAACTCGAACTAACCACTGCACTCTGCACTTGCTTCCTTCCTCTCTAGTTTGCATCGAAGATCGCCAACGGTATGAACCGCCCAGCCGACGGGAATACCAACAAGCCTGGTGGTGGTGTGTATGGAGGAGCACCACCCACTGGCTACACTGGAGGACCTCCAAGCTCACTGCAGCCTGGAGGAGCACCCGGTGGATATGTGAGTCCGCCCTACGCAAGTGACTAATCTAATCCCGTCGCCCCTCACGCATCCATGATTCATTCATCATCACCAGCATCATTGATTCAGTTTGCACATTTTCTGGACTCCCTTAATCTCATTTTTCCTCCCCCAAAGCTGACGCAGTCTTTCCCTAGCAACCACAGCAAAATCCTCAGCAGCAACAGGGTCAGCAGTATCAGGCTTACTCAGGCTCGCCTGCTCCCGCTGGTGGTCCGGTAAGCTAAAAGTTTCCTTACCTGTTCGTTCTTTACTTCTTTTCTTGAGTTGCTCTTTTCCCAACCCCCCCCC